GGAGACGGAGCGTAGTGGGTTGGTCGCGAGGACTGGAGTTTGGGAAACCCCAAAACAGAGTAGAGCTGTTCTGTTCACCTGTTCACCAACAAGGGCACGTGTTGCAATGTGCGTGCGTGTCCTCTGGATTGCCCCACCACAACTCATAAACGTGTGCGCGCGCGTGGGGGGAGGTTTTCATCCAGCAGTGGATATTGCCAAAAAAAGTTGGGAGTCACCAATAATTTAATTATCCGTTTTCCAGCAGCCCGTATTCAACCAGAAAAGTGAATATACAACCCACGAAGCCATCGCCGCACGATTTCTCCACTGGCCCTTCAATGCCCGGGCATGCATGTAGAACTTCTTTCGCACCATACGTAGTCAAGTTTTGCTAATCGGAAGTGCGGGGGAAGGACAACAAACTCGGCTGTGTTGGCTGTACACAGACTATGTGCATGCTGTGTGCATGCTGTGTGCATGCTGTGTACAGGCTGTGTACAGGCTGTGTGCATGCTGTGTACAGGCTGTGTACAGGCTGTGTGCATGCTGTGTACAGGCTGTGTACAGACTATGTGCATGCTGTGTGCATGCTGTGTGCATGCTGTGTACAGGCTTTGTACAGGCTGTGTGCATGCTGTGTACAGGCTGTGTACAGGCTGTGTACAGGCTGTGTGCATGCTGTGTGCATGCTATGTGCATGCTGTGTACAGGCTGTGTACAGGCTGTGTACAGGCTGTGTGCATGCTGTGTGCATGCTGTGTACAGGCTGTGTACAGGCTGTGTACAGGCTGTGTGCATGCTGTGTACATGCTGTGTACAGGCTGTGTACAGGCTGTGTGCATGCTGTGTACAGGCTGTGTGCATGCTGTGTACAGGCTGTGTACAGGCTGTGTGCATGCTGTGTACATGCTGTGTACAGGCTGTGTACAGGCTGTGTACAGGCTGTGTACAGGCTGTGTACATGCTGTGTACATGCTGTGTACATGCTGTGTACAGGCTGTGTGCATGCTGTGTACAGGCTGTGTACAGGCTGTGTACAGGCTGTGTGCATGCTGTGTGCATGCTGTGTACAGGCTGTGTGCATGCTGTGTACAGGCTGTGTACATGCTGTGTACAGGCTGTGTGCATGCTGTGTGCATGCTGTGTACAGGCTGTGTACAGGCTGTGTGCATGCTGTGTACAGGCTGTGTACAGGCTGTGTGCATGCTGTGTGCATGCTGTGTGCATGCTGTGTACAGGCTGTGTGCATGCTGTGTGCATGCTGTGTGCATGCTGTGTACATGCTGTGTACAGGCTGTGTACAGGCTGTGTGCATGCTGTGTGCAGGCTGTGTGCATGCTGTGTGCATGCTGTGTACAGGCTGTGTACAGGCTGTGTACAGGCTGTGTGCATGCTGTGTGCATGCTGTGTACAGGCTGTGTACAGGCTGTGTACAGGCTGTGTGCATGCTGTGTACAGGCTGTGTACAGGCTGTGTACAGGCTGTGTGCATGCTGTGTACATGCTGTGTACAGGCTGTGTGCAGGCTGTGTACAGGCTGTGTGCATGCTGTGTACAGGCTGTGTGCATGCTGTGTGCAGGCTGTGTGCATGCTGTGTACAGGCTGTGTGCATGCTGTGTACAGGCTGTGTGCATGCTGTGTACAGGCTATGTGCATGCTGTGTGCATGCTGTGTACATGCTGTGTACAGGCTGTGTACAGGCTGTGTACAGGCTGTGTGCATGCTGTGTGCATGCTGTGTACAGGCTGTGTACAGGCTGTGTGCATGCTGTGTACATGCTGTGTACATGCTGTGTACAGGCTGTGTACAGGCTGTGTGCATGCTGTGTGCATGCTGTGTACAGGCTGTGTACAGGCTGTGTACATGCTGTGTGCATGCTGTGTACAGGCTGTGTACAGGCTGTGTGCATGCTGTGTGCAGGCTGTGTACATGCTGTGTACATGCTGTGTGCATGCTGTGTGCATGCTGTGTACAGGCTGTGTACAGGCTGTGTACATGCTGTGTGCAGGCTGTGTACAGGCTGTGTACAGGCTGTGTACAGGCTGTGTGCATGCTGTGTACAGGCTGTGTACAGGCTGTGTACAGGCTGTGTGCATGCTGTGTACAGGCTGTGTACAGGCTGTGTACAGGCTGTGTGCATGCTGTGTGCATGCTGTGTGCATGCTGTGTACAGGCTGTGTACAGGCTGTGTACAGGCTGTGTACATGCTGTGTACAGGCTGTGTACAGGCTGTGTACAGGCTGTGTACAGACTATGTGCATGCTGTGTGCATGCTGTGTGCATGCTGTGTACAGGCTGTGTACAGGCTGTGTGCAGGCTGTGTGCATGCTGTGTGCATGCTGTGTACAGGCTGTGTGCAGGCTGTGTGCATGCTGTGTGCATGCTGTGTACAGGCTGTGTACAGGCTGTGTGCAGGCTGTGTGCATGCTGTGTGCATGCTGTGTGCATGCTGTGTGCAGGCTGTGTGCATGCTGTGTACATGCTGTGTACATGCTGTGTACAGGCTGTGTACAGGCTGTGTGCATGCTGTGTGCATGCTGTGTACAGGCTGTGTGCATGCTGTGTGCATGCTGTGTGCATGCTGTGTACATGCTGTGTGCATGCTGTGTACATGCTGTGTGCATGCTGTGTACATGCTGTGTACATGCTGTGTACAGGCTGTGTACATGCTGTGTGCATGCTGTGTGCATGCTGTGTACAGGCTGTGTACAGGCTGTGTGCATACTGTGTACAGGCTGTGTACAGGCTGTGTGCATGCTGTGTGCAGGCTGTGTGCATGCTGTGTGCATGCTGTGTGCATGCTGTGTGCATGCTGTGTACATGCTGTGTGCATGCTGTGTACAGGCTGTGTGCATGCTGTGTGCATGCTGTGTACAGGCTGTGTGCATGCTGTGTACAGGCTGTGTACATGCTGTGTACAGGCTGTGTACATGCTGTGTGCATGCTGTGTACAGGCTGTGTGCATGCTGTGTACATGCTGTGTGCATGCTGTGTACAGGCTGTGTGCATGCTGTGTGCATGCTGTGTACATGCTGTGTGCATGCTGTGTGCATGCTGTGTGCATGCTGTGTACATGCTGTGTGCATGCTGTGTGCATGCTGTGTACAGGCTGTGTGCATGCTGTGTGCATGCTGTGTACAGGCTGTGTGCAGCCTGTGTACAGGCTGTGTACATGCTGTGTGCATGCTGTGTGCATGCTGTGTACAGGCTATGTGCATGCTGTGTACAGGCTGTGTGCATGCTGTGTGCATGCTGTGTACAGGCTGTGTACAGGCTGTGTACAGGCTGTGTACATGCTGTGTACAGGCTGTGTACAGGCTGTGTGCATGCTGTGTACAGGCTGTGTACATGCTGTGTACAGGCTGTGTGCATGCTGTGTACATGCTGTGTACAGGCTGTGTACAGGCTGTGTGCATGCTGTGTACAGGCTGTGTGCATGCTGTGTACAGGCTGTGTGCATGCTGTGTACATGCTGTGTGCATGCTGTGTGCATGCTGTGTACAGGCTGTGTGCATGCTGTGTGCATGCTGTGTACAGGCTGTGTGCAGGCTGTGTACAGGCTGTGTACAGGCTGTGTGCATGCTGTGTACAGGCTGTGTGCATGCTGTGTGCATGCTGTGTACAGGCTGTGTGCATGCTGTGTACAGGCTGTGTACAGGCTGTGTACATGCTGTGTACAGGCTGTGTACATGCTGTGTGCATGCTGTGTACAGGCTGTGTGCATGCTGTGTACAGGCTGTGTACAGGCTGTGTACATGCTGTGTACAGGCTGTGTACATGCTGTGTGCATGCTGTGTACAGGCTGTGTGCATGCTGTGTGCATGCTGTGTACAGGCTGTGTGCATGCTGTGTACAGGCTGTGTGCATGCTGTGTACATGCTGTGTACATGCTGTGTACATGCTGTGTGCATGCTGTGTACAGGCTGTGTGCATGCTGTGTACATGCTGTGTACAGGCTGTGTGCATGCTGTGTACATGCTGTGTGCATGCTGTGTGCAGGCTGTGTGCATGCTGTGTACATGCTGTGTGCATGCTGTGTGCATGCTGTGTACATGCTGTGTGCATGCTGTGTACATGCTGTGTGCATGCTGTGTACATGCTGTGTACAGGCTGTGTACATGCTGTGTGCATGCTGTGTACATGCTGTGTACATGCTGTGTACAGGCTGTGTACATGCTGTGTACATGCTGTGTACAGGCTGTGTACATGCTGTGTGCATGCTGTGTACAGGCTGTGTGCATGCTGTGTACAGGCTGTGTACAGGCTGTGTGCATGCTGTGTACATGCTGTGTGCATGCTGTGTGCATGCTGTGTGCATGCTGTGTGCATGCTGTGTGCATGCTGTGTACAGGCTGTGTGCATGCTGTGTGCATGCTGTGTGCATGCTGTGTACAGGCTGTGTGCATGCTGTGTACATGCTGTGTGCATGCTGTGTGCATGCTGTGTACAGGCTGTGTGCATGCTGTGTGCATGCTGTGTACAGGCTGTGTGCATGCTGTGTGCATGCTGTGTACAGGCTGTGTGCATGCTGTGTACATGCTAATCAGAGGTGCGAGGGAAAGAACAAACTAAACACAAAAAGACGTAATAAATTAGTTTTCAATCTAGACGAGTTAAAAGTGCAGGAGCCACACTTGGTGTGCGAGTCGTGGTCGCAACCTGCCCGAGTCGGTGACCCGGCGGGGCAGCGAGCAGCTCCTCGCTATTGGGGAGGTCGTGAGTTCAAATCCTGGTTCGGGGGATTGACACAGCCCATCATCCCTTCCTCCGGGGTCGATAAAATGAGTGCCACTGTACGGAAATAAACAGTGGGTGTCTGATGGATCAACTCCCCCCCCCCCTTCTCACGGACATAGGAACGTGGAATTTCGACCACTGGCTTTGAATGTTGTAAACAAGAGATGAGCACCAATGCTCCAACGTGGCTCATGTCAGCTGCAGTCACGCTGGGGATGGCACCGAGCAACCACACTCAGCATCAGCGCCCACACATCATCAACTGCTCACACTCATTGCCAAACAGTGACCGGGGTGGGGGTTTATTCGTTATTCTTTGGGGGAAGGAAAATAAAAAAAGAGAATACATTACGAAAACAACCTTAACTTTGTCACAACAAGTCAGTATCAACACATTGTATATATATTTTAGAAAAAATAGAACAGCAATGACAATAACAACAACAAGCGATCGATGATGATGAAGATAGTAATAATACTCGGGAGGGGAAACATTCAGGACGACGAGAGCTCCGCAGAGCTCGTAAACGGCACGCGCGGCGCGCACGGCAGACGACGACGACGCCAGCGGCAGCAGCAGGAACCTGGGTTCTCAGCGCCGAGCAATGGACAGAGACGACATCTTCTCTCCCACTTGCTGTTACGATGAGTAGTATTATTATCATCGTTACGCAAGCAGGTAAGAGAACCAACAAGTTGCTCGGCTGTTTGAGCCGAGGGCATCATCAGCCCCGTGCGTGGTGGGGGAGAGGGTTCCGAGTTTTGGCCGAGGTGGCACCATGGGGGATGTTAAAGGGGGGGGGGGGGGGGAGTCGCGAGGGAGGCCACGTGTGGCTGCATGCGGTGGCGAGGGGCGCTCCTCCAGTGCGGCGCAAAGCGAGCGTCGGCGCCAACGCCAAGCGCGCCGGTTTCAGTCGGCTCGGGCAGCCCGCGTTTGGCCCAATGCGCAGACGCGTCCCGGGCGTACGGGCGTGGCTCCCTCGCTGTGCCGCTGTCTCGCGGCTCGACTTAACCGGTTCACGGTGTTGAATTTACCTTGCGAGCAAAACCCCAACAGCACGCGCTCCACTCGGTGACCGTTTTCTTGCTAACGAAGGAAAACAAAGATCCCCCCCCCCCCCATAGCCAACACAGACTGTCGGGGCAAGTGCTGCTAGCGAGCACCTCTGAAGGCCGGCACGGCACATGGCGGATTGGGTGGCCAGCACCACGCCCGGCCGCCTTTGTACTCCCTAGGGGAGGCCCATGGCCGGTTCGGATAATCGTCACTGGTGGTGGCCGAGAGCAGGAATCGAACTCGGGTGGCCGGGTTCGGAGTGTAGTGCACGTGCACACAAAACCCACACTCCCGTTTCAATAAATAGTGAAATTGTCGAGCTTGGCGAAACCGCCTCGCCAGGTGAGGCGGCTACCGAGAACCCAGGTCCGCGGCTGGTGCCGTCACGCGGCGCGCGGCGGAGGGGAGGAGGGGTTCGAGGTCGCAGGCCGTCCGAGCGCCCGCGCGACCACGGCCTCCCCCCCCCGAGCGCTCGTCATCGTCCATCGAAACCGCGTTGTTCTGGGAGCGAGCTCGGGATGGACGGGTGGAGGGAGACGGGAGAGCGAGAGCAGAGGTCGGATGCCGCTGCAAGAGCCTCGCGCACTCGCCGCGACGTCTTGCGCAACACCACCACCGCTATGGCCACGCTGCTGGTACTTCTGCCGCTGCACACTGGAGGGCACGGGGTGTGACCTCGTGGGTGGGGGGGGCGTCGATGAGATGCCACCTTGCTTAAAAAAATAGAACGTCGCTTCATGCCAAAGTCTAGACAGGTTTGTGTTTTTTTTTCCAAATTATCCCATCCCATCGATGCACGATGGGAGGTGAACTCGTAGGCAAGGGGCGAATAGGTGACGTCGAAGGGACGTGGTGCTGGTTAACCCGCGTTTCCACGACACTCACGAGCTACCCCCGCATTTCCACGGGGATGGTTGGGAGCACAGCCGTACGCGACGCGTCTAGACCCAGGGCAGAGAGACGCCGGGAGAGGCGTTCGCCCCAGTTACTGGGGTCACCGCACAGCCCTCTGAAGCTGCGTTCAAACTCGGGAAATAGTTCTGACCAGGCTCGTTCCAGTGCAGACGGAGCTCGCGAGAGACACAAACAAATCCGTGTCTCGCAGAAGGAAGGCCATCTAACTCTCTGTCACCAAGGTGCACCTGCTGACCTCTTGATGGCCCGGTTAGCAGAACGAACTCAACTCATCTGCTTTTGTTTCGGAACAGCTTTAGTTACGATCGCATGTTCAGAACAGAATCTGTGGGGGCTCAATTTTGTTGAGCTTTACTCTCACGTCATCGCAGCTCTGGCTGGTGAGGGGGGGCGGCGTGCGGTGAGGTGGGGACCCACTGCGCGAGCATCCGCCTCCCCGACGCCGAGTTCGCACCGACAGCGGCGCACTGCGCTCCTCTAACACTGACGGCCAGCGACACTCGAGGGGCACACACGGCTCAAATCACAGCTAACACGCACACACGCGATACGGCTACACGCGGGGTCAGCACAAACGCGGGGGGGGGGGGGGGGGGCTCTACTCGGGCACTAATGCTCAGCCCGAGCTCCAAATCATGGCCTCTAACGCCATCAATTTAGTTTCGCTCGCAAGGCCAGACAAGGCTCTAATCTCGTTACGGTCCGATGCAGGCCGAGTCAGTATTGCCATCAGCTGTCACTTTAGCGAGGCATTAACTTGAGTCGATTTTGCTCCATTTAATCAACGGGAAAAAAAAAGTTTCCGCTTTTTGTCGATATAAATGAATTGTCAAAGTGCCCAACAAACGTTTTTAAAAAAAGTTTACAATAACTACCACCCGAAAATTTTAATTTATTATTTATAGTTCTACTGTGTGTTGAAAGCAATGTTTGCCGGCTAGTGTTAATCATGTCAAAACTATTTTAGCATAACATTAATAATCATAGTTTTAATCAGTTTCTTCACAATGTTCAGGATAGCTTAAGTTAATCTTAACATGGAATCAATAACAATCACTTTCTTTTCCTTCAAAAGCCGGTGACCGACTCGTAACTGCTATGAATCGCCAGCAGTTTTCACGCGTGTCCAGCGACAGAAAGCGACGCGTTAGGATCGGGCCGCTTACGGCCACGACGCTGCCCCACGATACAAAGCGTGCTCACCCACTGGGCACGACGGACTACGTAAAAGCGCATGCTGCTTGGCAAGTGCGCCGGGCGGCACCGCTCCGGACGCTTCGCCGGCGCCTCCCTCCCTAGCGGGACGAGACGGCGACGGTGTTGATGACGGCGATGGTGGCGGTGATGATGGTGGTGGTGTGATGGGGCGGCGGTGGTAGCGGTGGTTGCACCAGTGGTGGCGGTCGTGGTGTTGGCCGTGGGGCGGGTGTTCTGTAAAACGGGGAGGATTCCGATTGACGGCGTCCAGTTCCGCTGAGGCTCGCGGCTGTAGAATACGAGATTAAAGAAATCCAAAGAAAACTTGTATAACAAGTAACGTTTCAGCTACGGATGGGGTTTGCAGGGGGGGGGGAGCAGCGGACACTCCGGGGAGAAGAGCGAGTGAAAGGAGGAAGGGACTGCCGCACCACGCCGTGTGAAACGCTTCACGGCCATGGAAACCAAACACGACGCGGGCTCCGTCTCCGAGCGACCCACGTGACGCCGCCTCCTCTCCCCCCTGCAATCACCAGGACGCACTTCGTGTTAGTGGCAGGCAGCAGCAGCAGACTGCGGGTCATGCACTGCCCCGCCGCTGGCGTTCACCAGTGGCGTCACGGCGTGCAACTTCATTAGGTCAAGTGACTTGGCTTCAACACTTGGTGTTGTTTTTTTATAATTTATGTATTTTCTTAAAACAAGAAATCCACCCAAAAATCTGGGTGGAGATCCGATGGATGAATTTGCATTGTCGACCATGAACGTTTTCTCTCGACGGTTAAAACTCTCACCCACCGTGCGTGGTTCACACGGGATAGGGGTTTTGGGGTGCAGCGAGAGGAAGGGCCAGAAAACGTAAAGCAATGTGAACCGGGCGGGAGAAAATGCCGGTCAGCCCGACCTGTGATGAAAGTCACTCCCTATTGTACACAAGAGTGAGGGAGTGAGGAGGCACGAGACGGAGAGCGACGGGCGAAAGACCGAGCCTACCGCAGAGGATTTTATTAGCGGCTCTTTCTGGTGGTAACCAGTTAGGGGAAAGTTAGGAGGAGATGGTAACGACTGACTCGAGCGCATGCGTTGTTTGCGTGGTGTTGCTGTCGTTGGCTGAGAGGTGAGTAGAACTCGGACACGCGCCCACACGCGCATACAGACACTGCGTGGTCGATGGCAAGAACACAACTCGACGCACGACGGCTCCTGGAGAGGAGTGCGCCATTGCCGCTCCCGCCACCGCTGCTAGGTGGTTGTCGCCGGCCAGGCGAGTTGGCGGGACCGCCCTCGTCACGGCCGAAGCGTGGTTAGACGGTGACAGCGCTCGTGCCCTGCTTGCCGATGAGAGCCTCGAGCAGGCGCAGCTTCGCCTTGGCGTGCTTGTACTCGGTGTACTGCTCCGCGAGCGTCGAGCGGTCCTCCTTTGCCACGTTCCTGCACGCAGCGTGGGGACCGCGGCACCGCAAGCGTTCAGTTCCACCCACCCCGGTGAATGCCGCGCCTGCGCCGCTCACGCCGTCCTCAAGCGGCTGACAGAGATGCGTGGCGTCCCGTTGTCGACGGACGCATTCCCGCGTCGTCTCCAACAATCGGACGGAAAATAAACATTTCCCAACATATCGCTTGTAGAGGTGCATCTCTATCACTAACTGTGACCTCCCACGAGGGGGAAAGGGAGCATAAACTGGGGGCTTTGATCGAGAGCCTTGGTTGCTGTGCTGTCAGCGAGCGTCTATTAAGGCTGCATGATGCACAAAAGACGGTGGGGCCGGCACCATCCAAGCCAGACCATCTCTGCTTCCGGTAGTAATGAGCAACGCACTGTCAGTATCCACAAATTGCATCTGGCGTCCACTGCAAGCAACTTGTCATCCGGCCATCCCCGGAGCAGCGGATTTTGGATATAGCCATCGAGCAATGATGGTCACTGCATCGTGCGGTTTCAGATGCGTTTCTGCGGCCGCCTGGAACACTCCTCCTTCCGATATTAGGAAGCCACTGGAGCTTTGCACTTTTAAATAATGTAGATTGTCAACTAATTTCTTTAAAATTGCTATTTGTATTTCATTTGTTGTCCTTCCTTCGCACCTTCGATTAGTGGAGTTGGCTAAGTACGGTGCGAAAGAAGTTCAACATACATACATACTTCCTTTTACTTTACCGTAAAGGATCTCCCGATATAGGAATGTGGAATGTCCACCAGATGAGGGCATTTGCCCGAGCACGGCCGCGTGCAGGGACATACTTGGACTTGAGTGGGGCCTGCGGCGAGGCCTGCTGCCCGTACCGGCCGGTGTGCCGGTAGAACGAGTCCTCAAAGTCGCGCAGCAGCTTGCGCAGGCGGCGCTTGTCCGAGCGCGTGGTGCGGAGGTGCTCCATCAACTCCTCCCTGCGCACACAAAAAATACAAAGATCCCCCTCGTATATAGCCTCAACAGACCGTTAGCGAGGAGCGCCTATGAAGGCCGGCACGGCACACGAGGGGGCGGGTGGCCGGCATCATGCTCGGCAACATTTGTCTACAGAGTGGCTGTGTTTACACATTGTGCCAGGTACTCATTTGAGGCTGAGTCGAACGAGAGGAGGCCCACGACCGGTTCATATAATTGTCACCGGTGTTGACCATGAGCGGATATCAAACTCTGGTCGCCGGATTCGTAGCGCAGCGTGCTAACCCCCTGCACTACCGCTCTCCACACGCGCACAGATACAGCAGCACGACCGCCCCCCACATGCGGCACGCAAACGAGCGTTCCCCTGCTGCGTGTGCGCGGCTCGTACCGCGAGGCGGCGTGCAGTGTGGAGAGCGATGGGTCGGGCCGCACGCGCGCCAGCTTGCAGCTGCTGCCGCAGCTCTCCTCCAGCGGGGAAACGAAGCCGTCCGTGTCCTGCTCCTCGTCCTCCGGCAGAAGGCGGCGTGGCGCAAACGGCGGTGGCGTCGCCGACGTCACTGGAGCCACCGCCGTGGGTGCCGCCGGCGCCGGCGGCTCCTGCGCCGGGGCCGGGCGCGTCGCGCGAACTGCCTTGCCGTCGTCCTCCTCATCCGTGCCCTCCTCCTCCTCCTGTGACGCACGGTTCGTTCGTTTGTTGGCTCGTTAGGTTCACCGCCGATAGGTACAGCCGGCCGGGACGTGGTGCGGAGAGAACGCGGCAAACCGAGGAGGTGGGGGCGAGCGGTGGAGCGCTTACGATGATGGGGATGGCGCGCGCTCGCACCAGCAGCGTCTTGACGGAGCGGTAGCGGTCGTACAGTGGCTTCACCTTGTGCTTCTCCAGGCGCGTCGTCTGGAGTGGCGCACGCGCACAGAGGCAGGCAGACAAAATACGTGCTACTCCACAGCACACCAAATAACAAACCCGCAAGGTAGCGCGATGGCCTGGCCTGCGAGCACACCTGACGCGATTATTGGAATGGTTCTGTCAATGGACTATCATGCGTGTGTGTGGGTATAATCTTAAGGTAATTTATCGGGCGGGCAAGTGGACTGGCCAGGCAAGTTTGAGTCAAGTTGTGCTCTCCAAATAGTAAGCAACAACATGGGGGGATGGGATAGAATGCCTCCTGCCTTCTTTGGGGATTAAGCCTACACCAATTCACACTCAGCAGAGGAGTTTATGAACAGGTGGAGAGCTGCATCACCGCTTTACTGAACGTGGCATCTAAACGCCACCGCATCACCAAGACGCTGAGGGGAAATCAACAATTCCACTCACAGCAGCATAAGCCAGTCCCTCCAGAAAAACGCGGAGTTTTTTGGTGATTGTTGCGGGCAAAAATCGTTGATTATGCGGCACGTTTTCTTAAAAAATGCGATGGAATATGCGGGATATTTATGCAATTTTATGCGATTAAATTGCGGGAACTGCGGTTTGATGAAAAAGAGAAAAAAAAGTGATTCCCCCAACACCCTATTCACTCGGCTACTACTTTAATGTAAAGAGTCATTTCTTATTACTTCCTATGATAAGCAAGCATACTACATCACAGAAAGTGCTGGGAATATTTAAGTTCTCATCTTGTTTTATTTCAGACCTTAACAAACAGATGGCTCAAACTTACAAAACATTGAGTCGAACAATTTCTGTAGCTTTACAAAATGAATATGCTACAACTTCTGTAAAAATGAATAAATAAAATATAAAAAAATAAAATGTGTGCTTCCTGTTTTACAGAGGTAGCTATACAAAACAGACATCTTCTGTTAAAATAAGTGTTTTCAGTGCATAGTAACGTAAGCAATACAGTAACAGTACAGTCTTACAGTAATGTAAATGTACATACTACTAACAAAAAAGTGCAATCTTACAACTGTAAAGTTGCATAAACTCCTGAATAAAACTAACTACGTAGCCTCTAACACTTCATAACGTTCCCATGGCAACAGGGGAAATGGCTGCGCTTGTGTGAAGTAAACGCAACATTTTTCAACTTTCTGCTAAGATATATGTGACTTTTTGCAACGAAAATGCGGGGATTATGAAATCATGCAAGCCCGCATATTTTGCGCGCGGAAATCTGCAATTTATGCGGCGAAAGTGCGGCGTATTTGAAAAAACGCGCCCCCCGCATAAATATGCGGACTTTGGCTGATTTTGCGTGGAATCTTGCGATCGCATAATCACGTTTTTCTGGAGGGACTGATAAGCATCCTCTGCTGGATGAACGCGAAGGTAGTTGCTGGTGAAGAAACTCCACCGGGGTTGCAATCAACTTGGCAATGAAAATTGCGGAGCGCCTCTGAATCGCATCTTTGAGTCTCATTAAACTATGAACGATGAAAATTTTAGTATTTTTTAATCAACCAGGTAAGGCCCATTGAGCTATTTAACCCTTTTTCAGATGCGACCTGGCCACAAATTATAGCTCAATGAAGTGGCTAATCACGTGGACATTTATTGCATGTTTTCATATGTGGAGGGAAAAACTAGAGGACCCGGAGAAAAATACATGCGACCACGAGGAGAGACATGCAAACTCCAAAATATACAGCAGGCGTCAGGGATCCTGATAGAACCCACGACTTCTTGTATACCCCGTAAGAATGATTTTATTATGTTATATTTTTATTATTTTATTATTTCCCTTCTACGTGACTTTACCAAAATAACCAAGAAGATGAATCCCTGCAGTCACGAAAGCTTTAAATCGAAATTTCTTGTATACCCGGCAAGAAAGATAACAGCTCGCCAACGTAAAGCCCCATTGCCTTTGCGTGGACCCGGCGGGCGTGAGGCGGGCAAGCTGGGTGTGGACAAAAGGCGGGAGGAGGTAGTTACCGGTCGGCCGTGAATGCTCTCGAAGTACAGCAGGCTCTTCTGGATGGCCACCTTCTCGGCTGCGATCTGCTCCCTCGTCATCTCCTGCGAGAGGCAACACGCAAAGCGCGTGTCGCTACGGAACGTCCTCCCGGCCCCAAGGGGGAGAGCCACACTGAGCCCGCACGAGCCGTCAGCTGGATCGACGGGCACGGCTGCCCGCTGCGCAGCGCGCATCTGCTCTGGGGTTGCGGTGGCAGTGGGTGCACTGCGCTCGCATAGTGATCGCGGAAGCAGTATCATGTGTGCGTCCAAGCTCTGAATGTGTCTGTAATAAAGCCAGATATGATGAAAAAAGAAGAGGGTTTATCCTTTCTGGCAATAACACACCTTTTGCAAGACATCAAGTCTGCATTAACCACACACGCTTGTGGTAAAATATGGAAACAAACATACTCCAAGAATATATTTGATATAATTGGCCTACACGAGAGATAGACTTTATTATAGCCTTGTTTCACCGGTGTTAGACCAGAGAATGGCAAAAGGTGAACAGTACAATGGCGATGCAAATATCAAAGCATTAATAGCTCGCGGTGAGCACTCAGATCTATGGGACCTTTTGCCAGCATAATATTTTTTCATAATTATTATACTGCCAAACATGTCCAATAGATAAAGTGCAGATATTGTGAACATACAGATGAATGAAGGCCTTCAGTATGACCCCCCCCCCCAATAGGCATTGCTGGGATGATTTTGATATTTTGACTGTGAGATTTTTACTAATTAGTGGAAATGCCCTAAGGCAGCCAGGCATGCATACCGATGGCCACACCACTCCATCACCTTTTAAGCCAGCCTTAATAGGCGCTCACCATCAGCATTAGCCCCCAAAGATAAAGATCCAACGTATAGGTTCCAACAGACCGTTGGGGCAAGTGCTGTTAGCTAGCACCTATGAAGGTCTGAACGTTACACGAGGGAGTGGGTGGCCAACACCACGCCCGGCCGCCTTTGACTCCCAAGTGCAGATTTTTGTACACTGCCTCAGGTAGAGTCGAACACTAGCCCCCACACTGCGTAACACACACGCACTCTGTGTCGCAGTGCAAGCCATGTATTCGGGGCCAGCCGCTAACCTTGGGACTGTCCGGTCGTGCCGCTTGCTGCCTCTTCTCCTTCAGACGGAGCTCGATCGCCTCCATCGTCTGCTCCACCGTGGGCCTCTCCGCCTTAGGCTTCTCCGCCGTGGGCCTGTGGGCAAGCTTGGGCTGCTCCGTGCCTCGCCGCGAGGCTTTGGGGGATCCGGCGGGGGAGCCGTCCTCCCGCACCGTCCCCTCCCGCGTGTCCGCCTCTGCCGAGGGCGCCTCCGTCGAGGGGACCTCTGCCGAGGGCAGCTCCACCGTAGGGAACTCCGGGAGGAGGCTCAGCTCGCAGGGCCGGCTGGAGCCGAAGCTCCGCGGGAGGGTGTTGCTGCGCTGTCGCGTTAGGGCATCCCTGCCACTCACCGTCTCCTCCTGCGACTGCTTTAGCCTGAGCTCTGTGTTTACAAAGCAACACCAGCAGGTTTACGTTGGTTAGCCGTCACCATTGTCACCATCGTCGGCCATGATCTATCCACTGCTGGACGAAGTCATCCCCAAGTCGGTTTCGCGATGCAAGGATCCAAGTCTAGCTCCTGCGAACGAGCTCCATCTCCACGGGGGGAGGGTGTAACCGCATCCGTGTTGCCTCCTTGCATCTTTTGCTCCACCAATAGTCTCGACAACCGGCCATTGTCCCTTCCTGTGGCTCGTGCTGCCCGAGCCACTTCCTCGTCTCTAATGCTCGATACCATGAGCGATGACTCATCGTATTGAGCGATGAGTCATCGTATTCTAGCCAAACATGTAAATCCCCCATGCTTGTCTGTGCACTTAATGCGCTCATGAGAGTTAACTGAGGTGAACGCGAGCGCTCTTGTTCATCTCACTGCTGCAATAGGTGTAATCTTCACATCTGGGATTCTAAGCTGACTGCGGTGAGCTCTGTGTGTGTCTGTGCGCAGTACTGCAGGAGAAACCACGATCCCAAAGCCTCTGTCATCTCCTCGCCGGTGTTGACACTCCACTCCCCACAGTACACACCGCCCATTCGCATTCCAGCTGGGGCCCACGCAAAACACGCACGACAGGCACACCCTTGCTATTAACAAGGCACAGCCCTGCAACCGCTGGCTCACAGCACTGCTGGTAAGAAAGTCATCTGCATTAGGGAGCTCTAGATAAACTTCTCTTTAAGAGGGCAGTTTATGGCCAACTCTTCCACACCAGCCAGAAGTGGGAGTTCCCACACTTTATCCCACCACACGCGGCCTGTCGATCGATGGAATTGAACCGGCGACCTCTGTATTGCAAGTCCGCTGTGCCGACCATTACACCACCACTGTGGCAGCATTATTTGTCACAGGAGTGTGGCGAAGGTAGAGTGATTCACCCGGTATGACTCACACACAGTGTAACTCATACTAAGCATGACTTGCACTCAGCTTGACTCTAAGCAAAGGATAAATCTGCAGGCGGTGACGCGGCGAGTGGAGACGTCACCTCTGAGCTGTTTGCGCGAGCGAGCAAGGTCGTTCATCCACTTGAGAACTTCCGGGTTGGTGACTTTATCACTGTGACTCGGCTGCATACACACACAAACACACAACACCAAGGGGGTGTTGTCAATCATCATCACCGCCACCTCTTCTAGTATTCGCGAATATCACTGTGTAGGTTTCATAGCTGTGCTGCGTAGCCCTCCGCTGCATGCATGGGTTGTGCCGCATGTTGTTCGTCACGCCAAACAACCCGCAGCACAACGCGATCACAACGGGAGGGGCCCCTCGCTAACATTCCCTGCTTCACTGAACGAGGGCTCCCCGCGAGGCACGTCAGCCTCTTGCACGTGCATTAGTTTTAAAGAAAACTAAACTTTTTTAATTATCTAAACGTTTGCCAAATTAACTCAAAATCCAAACATAATGACGGGTGTTTATTCGAGCAGTCCATTGATGACGGGGCTTACACCAGCCACTCGCTTAATTTGAGAACCCGGTTTAACTACCGGTGGCTGAACCAAGGAGTCGAAACCAGGATGTCAGCCGTGCCGGCTCAGTTTCTGTCGCCCATCACCAGGACCGCTTGGAGGGGGTGGGGGAAAATGTAGTTCTTTGCCCGAGGCCTAACACAAAACAGGTCCTCGCAATGGTCCGGTATTTGTCAAAATTGAGCAAAGAGGCCCCATGTTGTGTTCTACTCTGGACCTCTGGGGAGCCTCTGGGCGGCCCTGCCTATATCGCAGAGTTGTGTGGCGTGGCGAGAGACACGGGGAGAAGCACAGGGAGAGGCGTGGGGAGAGGTGCAGGGGGAGAGGTACGGGAAGAGGCGTGGGGAAAGGTGCGGGGGGAGAGGAGCGGGCCCCACCCGGTAGCGGTGCTCCTCCTGAAAGCGTTCCTCGAAGCGCCGGATCTTCTTCTTCAGGCTCTGGATTCGCTTCGAAAGCTGCGATGATGTCACCTCCTCCTTGTCGTGCTCCTCCTCGCGGGAGCCCAGCGACGATGACCTGGGCCTGCCGAGGAGGAAAAGGCCACACCCCTCGTCACCCGAGAACTCTTTGCGGCCCAGGTAGGTACATGTATCACCAGGCCACGCCGTGTGACAGGACTGGGCGTGTCACGGCCAGCACTGACACATACCCCGTCATGTGTCGTCGTGATGTTACAACGTCCGTACACGTGACCGCTAACCTGCACCTTGTCGCCTGGTCTCACCTCCCTTTTGTTTACCTCCCTTTCATCTCACAAATCTATTTGATCTAGTCTACAGAGCTCTTATCTACCCAAATCTTTGTCTGTCAATGTCTTGGCGAACCGTATCTCTCAGCGGACCATGGCTCGGTGGGCCACTCCCAAGACCCACACCGCAGGCCACCGGGGCAGGAGCCTGCCGTCCCGTGGCGTGTGGTTGGGCGCCTGCAATGCGCACACCCCGCACCCTTCCGATATTGTCACCAAGACATTTCATAGTGACCCATTCCTTGCCATATTTAATCAATTATCTTTACGTTAAAATGTGTTCAAAATGTAAATAATATTTTTTTAATTAAATGCCTGCCCACAAGAGCCGCAGGTGACCCCTGGGCTTTACCATCGCCTCCCTAGATCTGTCGCTCCACATAAACTGGAAAGAGTATTCCTTACACGTCCCATCTGCGCTTTTGTGGCCATCTAGAACGCTCTTCTTTCCGATGTTAGGAAGCCACTGAAAACTAATTTCTTTCTAACTGCTTTTTGTGTTTAGTACGGTGCGAAATTGAACGTACATACAGAACTACATATGTCCTGGCGACCCACCCCACCCCTCACCTCATGAAGCTGGGCAAGTTGGGTGGCGACGGCGGCGCCTCGGGGTCCGTGTGGTAGCGTTGCGAGTGGCTGAAGCTGGAGCAACGCGGCGACAGCAGCGGGTCCGCTTCGTCTGCCAGGAGGCGGCGGATGAGGCGGCCGGGCCGGGGGGAAAGGTGCGGCTCGCTCGACTCCGAACGCCAATCCCGGAACAACCGCACCGGCTCTGCCGGCACAAGGCGACAGGGGGGAAGGCACACGCATGTAGACGTGGGGTTTGGTGCCTGAACGCATCGTAGATCGTACAGAGATCATTATCCATGCTTGCCAACCAGCCCATACTGGACATGTGAAAAAGAGCTTCATGGCTCATTGGATTCCTCCAGTCTAAATAAAGATTATGATTCTGCCAATCAGCATTAGTCATTGGTGAACGCGCCTCTAGGTGTGTGATAGACGGACGGACAGACAGGTGACGCTTTTAATACGTCGGGATGTGTGCGTGTGGGAGGGAACGTGAGCAGTGGGAGACACGGGCACATGCGAGGAGGACCACAATCAAAACCCTCGCGAGCAGCTCAGCAGCCTGCTTGTGAGCTTTACTGTCTCATGCGGGCCCAAGCCCGCGGGCTAAGCAGTGTGTCGGGAGTTCCTTGTGAGCCCACCGTGCCCAGCGCACAAATAAAACACGCCGGCGTACGTACCTCCCCACTCAGTGTCTGGCGCGATGCCGGCCAGGTCCAGCAGCGGAACGTCGGTCCTGCGCGCGGTGCCGCCCACGGCCGTCTGCGAGGGTCCCCCGAGGCCCCGTTGGGGAGATGCCGATGACAGCTCTTGCTCCATGGGCACCACCTCGTTGTTGTTTTCCTCCTTCCACTACGCCAGGAGTACGGAAAGGGGTTGTGGGGGGGCAGTGAGACGTGGAACCCAGCATCCGGTCGCGCCGGCCGCGGTCCACGCGGCCACCGTGGCCATCGTTGAGAGCCCCCAGCCCTATCGCCAGCACAATCCAATGGCAGTGTTAGGTGAGGCAGCGCCCTGCTGATGAGATGCCCCCCCCGTGAACAAAAACCAGTCACGGGTTTCCCTGCTTCAACAAAACGCTTCTAGAAATCGGCGGTCAAGACATTGCATTGAATGACGGGAAGCAAAACGTTGTTGTTATTTTGGGGGAAATTAAACTGGTTCCATTTTCTGCTTCATCACCTACCTACTCACTTACTCACCTGAATATGAATTCTTTCGTCATTTTAAAACGGATTCTTGCACAATTCATTTACTATTGTAGCACCGATTTAGGTGCCGTTGTATTGCTTAAACCCATTCATAACGAGAGCAGTTCCCAACCCCACCATGCCTGAGTGTGAACGAAAGGAAGCATTTTCATGGACTTGATAATAAAAATGATTTAGTTTTTATCGAGCGGCGGCATTTATGAAACTGCAATACACGGTGCGGCATAATCCGCGACACACGGAGATGCGCGTATATATTAAGACATTTTAAACTGAGTGATTATACGTGTGGGAGGAAGAGAGCACCCGGATAAAACCCATGTGTATGAGGGGGCAAATCTCTATCCCAAACAGGTGGGACAGATGATATTCGTCCGCATTTTGCCGTACCGCCTTCTCCTGGCGAGCCAGCATACATGCACCTCCTCGACGCACACGGCAAGGGAGATTCACAACACTTGTACGGTGACCCACCAACCCTCGCTGCCTCCAAAGTGCTGGATCGCAGGCCATGTGCGTAGCCACTACTGCCGCCTGGCTGTGTTAATACGGCCGGTGCCGTTCACTTACAGCTCGCTCAGAGCACACGCGCTGCTTGTAACATCATTTAACTTTCTAGTAAAGAGCCGATTGCTTCCAACGCCGCTGGTACAACACGCCGCTGGCACAACACGCCGCTCTTGCCACACGTTTCCGACCGCCGGCTGCGACAATCGCTGAGCAGGGGAGCTCAATGCAGAGATGCGCGAGTTTTGATCGCTCTGCTCACGCAACTGCTTTGCCCCAACTGCACAGCTCCCAAGAACGGGAGGTGCACAGTTAAGGTTGCGCGTTGAGCCACAAGAACGTCAGAGATGCGTACTAAAGAAAACATTCCTCTAAAAACAGCGGCAACCTCAACAATTCTGTCAGGTGTGATAGAGAAACATCAACCTGAAAGGAAGCCTATTTTTATAATGTTCCTGCTATTCAAGAGCAACTTCAACCCTCGTGATACTTGGAAAGCCAAAGGGAGCTCACAGCAAGTCACAAACAAACACCTCATGAAAGAATCAACGGTTTGATTTTATACAAAGCTTATGGCCACAACCCCTAAATTGCATCTGCACAATCCATGACAGCAGCAGATGCAGTTGCTTGGTGCATGCGACTGTGGTCACCCAAAACAGACCATGGAATACATAACGACTCGATGGCCGATTCACAAACACAAAGGAGGCATCGCCGCAACGATTCCCCACTCCGCTATTCCTGACGCAATAATCTGGCGCAACCGCCTCAATGTAGAATTACATCGGTTGATCTACATTAACGAGGAGACTCAATAGCAGTACAGGGAGTTTCATAACACGTCTCGTCGGTCGCTTGTCCGGTTAAACCATTGATGCACGGAGGTGGGGAAGCAGTGGATGTGCGGCAGGAATCAATGCAACTCCAGCCAGTGGGAGGCTGCGGTGCAAAACAAAGACAAAGATCCCCTGGAAAAGCCTTAACAGACTGTTGGGGCAAGTGCTGTTAGCGAGGACCTATGAAGGCCGGCACAGCACACAAGGGAGTGGGTGACCAGCACCACGCCCGGCTGCCTTTGCCTCCCCAGAGGTGATGTTTTACAAACCGTACCAGGTACTCATTTGAGGCCGAGTCGACTCAGGAGAGGCCTAGAACCGGTTCAGATAATCGTCACTGGGGTTGGCCGTGAGCAGAAATCAAACTCTGGTCGCTTGGTTCGTAGTGCAGCGTGTTAACCGCTCCACTACCGCTCCCCATGTGCCTGCCAGATACACGTAACAATGATGAACCTTTTATGAATTCTAAACTCTGAATAAATGAACAGATTTCAAAACCAGATTCCAAAGAGCCTGGAATTAAACTTTGGCCTTTTTGGTCGACTCAGCCCTTCACCTCTCCGGGGTCAATGAAGTAACACTTTGTAGGAAGGAAAAAAGTGCTTGTCCTGTAGACATACTTGTTCATGCCATACGAATGTGGAATTCTGAGGGTCAGGACTGTAAAGAGGAGATGAGAATCAGCCCGTGGTCATTTGAGCGGCAAGTTACTTTATTAAGGCCTAACAGCACAATCAACTTATCAATGGCCACAAACGTATGACTCATTATAACCACTACAATGTGGAAAACACTAGATCTGCTTTATGACAAACACAGCTCAATCTCTTGCCTGCCGAAAGCATGCGACACAGTACCCTAAGCTGCAATGCAGACACGGCCACATTTCCCCTTAATGAGTGCCAATCTGCGAGCCAACACCCAGGTCCCCGATTGGGGTGTACGCTGAAATCTGTCACGCCGATGACTACACTTCCGTCGCGACGCGGGACGCCCCTCCCCCCTCTCTACTTCTCCGGCAACGGCGCCCGATTTCTCTAACGCCGTTGGTCGCCTGCCGCCAGCGTTAAGAGCGGCCGATGCCTCACCGGGGTCCCTGGAGCCGTGCCGCGGGGCGGCGGCGGGAGAGGGCTACGTTTTTGTATCGTGCCACGGCTCGGCTTGCGGCGGTTGCGGGGCGGCGGGGCGCGACTGGCCGTCAGCTGTGTGACACCACAAATAAAAAAACAAAACAAAACCCACCGTCGCAATTCCTGATCCTGAGCCAGGTTCTCTCTCTCACTAAGAAGACAAGGGAGGAGTCTTGTTTCACTTTCGCTCACGTCTTCATGGATGTCTGACATATATATGTGTTGACACCCATATATATGTGTGTTTGAGCGAAGGCCGGGGGAGGCTCTGTGGGTCACCGGGTGAAGGAACAGCACTCGTGGGACTGGCAGGAGGGTACTACGGGTGCAGAGCAAGCGAGCTACGGAGCAACTGAGCAGCACCGATGAGTACTTAGACGAGCGAGCAAGGAACAACAGACAGCAACCGTGGCAACTACTACCAGGTAAGGCACCACTGCGCTATTACTCTTTTTATCAGAAGTGGCTTGGCCACAAATGATAGCTCAACGAACTGGCTTATAACGTGGAAATTTATAGTGGTCAAATATTCTAAACCAGTGGTTCTTAACCGGAGGTGCACGCACTCTCTGAGGGTGCGAGATGCCCTAAATAGGGGTGCAAGACATGCCCGATTTATTTAGAATGTAAATAATCGAAATTCTATATTAAGAATGATCACGTAAGTACAACTACTTTGTTTCATCAAACCTATATATTCATTAACATTATAAATTGTTTAACAGCTGAGAACCAAAGGAGGTGCAAGGCTGCAGTAAAGGTTAAGAACCACTGCTCTAAACGCATGTTGTTTCTAAATGTGGAGGGAAAAACCCGGAGTAAAATCCACGCGACCATGGGGAAAACACGCAAACTCCAAAAATACAGGCATCAGGGTCGAACCCACAACCTCCTGTATACCAGGCGAGGCAGTTAACATCTCGTCACCGTGGCAACTAACAGTAACAACAAGAGATGTCACCGATCTGTGGCGGCCCGTGTTTATTATGATTAGGATTGTATCGTAGTGTCAAATAAACTGGTTTAATTTGTGTTCATTATTTCTTAACCAAAATTAAAAATTTTACTCAAAATGTTTCATGATGCCCATTCCCTTGCGTGTCCATTCACCCTTCCCCGGGAGCCAGATATCCAAGCCTATCCTGACCTACTCACTCGCCCGTGTGTGGACACGCACCATGTGTCGCCGCATCTTGCGAGTACCACATGACTTCACGTGTATGTGTGTTGGGAAAAATAGAGAAAGGAGGGCATAACTATGGCCGGGAAGACACGGCGCTTCATATGGAGCGACACAGCCAGGTAGCTTCCACACAGCGCTACGCAGCTGATGAAAAGGTAATGCCTCCAGACGGATTTGGGTGAGACCTCTGCTGCAAAACTAGAGCTGGCGCCGTGGTGACGTCACCGCCACTTGGTGTCGAACGGCGGTTGTTGTAATTGTTGTTGAGCAAAATACTTTCAGCTACAAGTAAAAAAAGACTTGAACGATTAATGTGTAAAAAGTTGTCGTTACGTGTAGTTGTGTGTACACAGGTGTGTGTACGTGTGGTTACGGAACGTCGAACAGACACTCACGAGGGGCGCTATTTCCCTCGTAGGGTCTGTCCCCCCGCACCCCCCCCCCTCGCGCTCCCTCGGTGTTGTTGTGGTGTTTGTCACCATACTGACCGAGGACAGCGTCGTCGTGTTCACCATGTCGGCGAGCTCCTCCCCTTGACTCATGTTCATCTTCTTCTTCTCTTCCTCCTCTTCCCTAGCAATCGTCAACAGCAAAGCGACGACGTCACGCACGAATACAAATACACCGCGACCACCCCCACCAGCAAGCGGGGCAGAAAAACACGCGTTGGCAAATATTAATCCAGCTTCCTCTTGACTCAGTGCGCAAGAATAGATGGAAGCCTGCTGCTGCAGCTGCGTGGTCAGCAGGGAATCGCCAAAGCATGCCGTCTACAAGGCGAGCGCCAACGATCCTCTGGACAACTTCGCAGGAATGTTAGAAACCAGAACACAGCCTAAGTGATGCTTGTATGTTATTGCGGTGACCATCAGGTTCTGGGACCTGTGCTGTAATCCCGTGACTGTAGAATTATAATTTGCACGAATCGTAGATAATCGCTATTTACACGCAGAAAACTGCTTAAAACAGGAGTGGAATCGCCGAGTTGCTATGAGCCCGCTGTCCTTCACCGATCACCAAGTTCCCGTTGGCTTAGCGGCGCAGCTTGTGTTACCAATGCGCTCATGAGCCAAAGCGGTATCATCGCTAGGGTCGCGGTGACCGGCACCACGGCGTCTCTTACGGTGGCAGCAGAGCGCGGCTCGCAGGCTTCCCCTCCTCCATGTCGGTCTCCGAATCCGTGGCGGATGTCCGACCGGTCCCGCATGACCCTCCCGGGCCAGCGCTCTCCATCGCCTGGAGACAGCGTCGCGTAGCGCAGAGAGGACGCCACGTTAGCAACGCCGCAGCGACCCTGGCACCGCTCGCTGCAGGGTTAATGCGTGACGCCCCATGGCGTCGTTTGTAAATACCAGGTCCTGCTACGGTGTCAGATAGTAGACGCACAGCCCTCGTGTGGAGCTACTGCTGGATGAGGGCCTCCACACGCCATGCGGGTCGTGGGGGTCCAAGGCGTGGGGGCGCAGGCGTGGGAATGACAACGGTGGATTTGTTCTGCTGCCCACACAACGTGGCACCGCAAGCAGACTATACAAACTAATTTATCACGGTGGTCGCCGATCCAAGCGTTATCTCGGCTCGATCCTGCTTAGCACACACACCGGGTGACTGGGTCACCGGTGGTGTCAGAATGAGCTGTGCAAAGATGTTAGCGGCCGTGCAAACAAGCGATCGAACAAGAGAGTCGGCACTAACGGAAGCAGTCTAAGTCATGGGCAGGTCAACTGGGAAGTCACCACTCGGATGCAGCAGCAGCCGCGGCGGTGGCGATCCAAATCTGATCGGTGATCCCCTGGCTCAATTGCCGGTGTGGTTCTGGGTAGGATCAGCACCAGTGCAGTCGGTGCGATAAACACACGATAATTAATCTACCCATGGCTATTACCAACAAGCACGTGCATGTGCGCATGCACACGCACTTGAAATAGCTAACGTGCCCGGCGGTCAATACGACGCGAGCACAAAGTCTGCGCCCTTGATCCAGTCCCGCGTGGAAACTAATTTTCACAAACGCGCCGCGGTGTCCGGCCTCCCAGAGGGGAAGGAATTAGACCCGGGGGGCGCCACAAGTGAACCAAGGCGCGTGACAAATGCGGGAATGTCAATGTCAAGTGCACCTTCGTAACTTCATGACGGACGTGACTCTAATGACTTAATTTCTCAAAACTCTGCGTTCACAGATGCATTGCGCCCATCCAAACGCACGGGGCCCGTCGTGCTGGCCAACGCAACGCATTCTCACGCAACGCGTTGATGTTTGCAAACAAGCTCTGCCAACCTCCTAAGGTGTTTTAGTTTTAGAACTGCATTTTCAGTCATTTATTTGTTCTTTTATGTCACAATGCAATCCTGAAAGCCACGGGCCAGGCATTAGTGAACTCTGCCCCTTTTACAAATGAACTAAAAAACAAAGCAAAAAATCCTGTTAATAAAAAAAGCATCCCTGTTTCATCTGGAATGCATTAAAACCTAGCGTAAGCTTATTATGGGCCGTCCTAGTGAACCCAATAATAGTGCTCGCATCTCATGTTCTCTTATGATCTACACAATAATGCCGGCGCTACTCTGGTTCACACCAACTTGGAAGCACCCCAAACCTACTTCCTGTCCTTTACACCAGCTGCCACGTATGAACCCAAGACAAAGCGTCACAACTGGTGGTCTCATCAGCCACGGCAACGGCGCCCAACAGAGCAGTGCACCGCTGTCCGAACACCGTCTCGGCCTAAACCCGGCGCTCCAACCGGGAACGCAATGGCTCTGTGATAAAACCAGCGGAACGCCGGAGGCTACGGTGACGCATGTCAACGGTCGGCATTCGGTTTCACCGCACGTTAAGATTCACCTCGCAGCACGAGCCCGCTGGCATTTGGGAGTGGAAAACAAAAGTGTATTTTTAAATGGCTGACCTCTTGCGCTGGCTGGCCGCCCCGTTTGCTGTTGGACCGCTGTCGCTTGGCTCTTAGGCCCCCCTGGTCATCCGGTGTGCCAGGCCCCTTCCCGCTCGTGGCGCCGCCGTCCCCGCGCTGCTTCTTTGGCACGTCCGACTTGGCAGCTCCGTCCGTCTGGGCGCCCGCGTTGGAGTCCTCGCAAGCGGGCATGTTCACCTTGTTGGTGTTGTCCCTGCTGTGTTGTTTTGAGAGAGCGAGTATCGGGGGGGAGGGGGGGGTGAAGGGGTCACGCGGACGCACCGACAAACGGACGAATGGACAAAGTACCCAGAGACACACACGCACACAGAGGGCAGGGATGGGAAGAGTGAGACGGTGGAAAGGGGTTTAACTTTACCCAGTGCAATGAGGAGAGTAGAGGGAATCGGACAGCAAGTCAATAAGTGACGAACGAAAGGAGGGGAAAATCCAATGGAAAAATATCACGATAGATTTTGCGTGTGCGTCTGGCGATTTGCACGCTGTGCTATGATCCCAGCCACCAAAGGTCAATTCCAGGCCACATAAACATTCACAAGCAGGAACTGATGCTTCAACCTGTGCTGGGTCTCCCCTAGGTCATTTTAAACTAATCTTGGGCACTCGGCGTGATGGCATGACTGACGTCAGAACTCCACAGATGAAGGTGGCTGGGCAGATAATCACCACTGGTGTTGGCAATGGCTGGAAATCGAACTTGGGACGCTGGATATTTAGCGCAGTGCAATGCCCTCGCTCCCACAATAACTTACTCCAACACTGCAAGCAGGCGGCTTCAACGGAGGTGAGTGGGGGGCATTCATGTTGGGGGGGGGGGGGGGTCTCGTGGACTCACAAGTCAGCCGCCTGCGCCCGCCCCGGGGATCTCAGCTGGCGCCGGCGTGGTCTCGACGGGGCTGCGGTCGTCGTCACAGCGTCCCAAAGGCCGCCGCCGCCCTCGTCGCCCGCGTCTGTGTCGAAGAGGTGCTGCTCCACCGTGCTGGCGATGGTTTGCTCCAGCAGAGCTCTGCACGCGGTGGGGGAGGCACGCAAGTAGGGCCGGGGGGTTAGGGGCCGGGGGGTTAGGGGCAGAGTGGCGAGCCCCCCACGGGAGACGTGAGAAGGCCCCGGGCGAAGCCTCCTACCGCGCCGGCAGTCGTTCGTGGCTTTCACGGCGACGCTCAGCGTAACTGACAGGGCTCAATAAAAAAACGAGTGCTGACCGATTGGCATTAATGTTTGCGGCATGGAGAGCCAAGAAAGGTGCTCTGTGATGTGAAATGGCTCTGATAACCGCGGCCACTGAACGGGCGCGGAAGTTACACGAGGGGCAGGGCCCCCTACGGGGCCAGCTGTGACCTGGCGCCTCGCCACGGTACGCCAAATGCTTTCCGTGCAGTGTCCAAAAGGACAAGGGGTGCATTGAGTGCGAGCTCTCTACAACTACTACCACCAAACATGCGCACGCCGCATGACTGAAAATGCCCTGGCATTTATAAGTCCGCAATGTCGCAGCGTTGCTTGTGAGCAACGTTTTTCCAAGCTAAAGCCGACAAAATTCTGCCGGCAGGAATGCATGGGACACACAACGCAGTGTGGATTATGGCTACACTTCAATTCTTCGAATACAAAATGAGACGCGCAAATCACATTATTCCTCGCACCCAGAGAGAAAAAGCCACAACTCTCCACGCGTTCTAAATGGACTGGCAGCGGAATCATTGCGAAATCAAACCGGAGGGTTTTACTCACTCAGCAGAGCTGTGCACCGGACTGGAGATGCTGTGGGCACCCGGACGCCAAACACGTCGACAGGAGCGGTGAGAACAGAGAGAGAGAGAAGTCACACAGAGCAAACAGGTGGCGCTGCGCAACACACGGCACCGCGCCACTACGCTGCCCGTTGTCCGAGAGTGACAGCAGACCAAAGGCTCCTGTGTGGCGGCAGTGGCAATTGGGGCGGGGACGGCATATACAGCACGACCCCATAATCCGCCGCACAAGGCTCGTAAATCGGTGCCATGTTCCGAGTAACACCGCATTCCAATTCTCGCGTGTGCAAAAACCTACACGTACGTGCACGGCGCCCCCCCCCACCCCCCACTCCGCTACGGTACTGGAAACTTTTTACAATAACAAAAATAATAGCAATGACGCTGGGAGTAATACAGCAAAGGATAAATAATCAGCAGCATAAAAACAAACAAAGCCTCTTATCGGATCAGCCGCGTGGCTGGCGCGAGATGAAAAACTGCGCGCTGCTAAACGAGCGCTGCGTACGGCCATGACCAAAACACGGCGCGGCACGAGTGCCCATGGCGCCGTTGTTTACAGCAGAAGTGCTCAGCCGCTCGCGGGTACAGCGAGATGCTACAGCCGAACCGTGGCAGGCTTCTTGCATGCAACAACGTGCCTGCAACGCAATCGGCATTAGCAACATTCCGATGTGAACTTTCCACAGCGAAAAGCTGACGTGGCCGAACATGGAATGCTTTCTGCCACTTCACTCCAGCGCGAACTCCTCTCCTCGAAAACAATTGCACTGTTTATCGCTGACGGACACAATGCACTCGTTTCCTCCGCACGTCATTGTCCGTGGCCAACACGGGCGGCATCCTTAAGAGCGACACGGCGAACCCTGCGAGGGTCATTTTGGACAAGCAAAAAATATATAAATGAATTTGTGGACGAGCAGATGGGCAGCCACGCAGACACAGATGCAGTCCAAGGGCACTGGCTGCGAATTTCCCAGACGCTTAGATTTTAGTATTGATATTGGCTGCGAGCTCCAGCGGCGATACAGTTAAACATTAATCACGTGACGTAGCAGGGCGGGGCACAGGTAAGGGCCGTGCCCCCGGGGTGCTTGTTAAGAGGCGGGGGAGGGGAAATGCCTACTATTTAAACAAGTAATATGTAAAAAACTTTATTTTAAACACGCTTATATGAAATGTACTAGTAATGGCAAAACTCCACGACTCCAGGAAGTGGCCCCAAAGCTTGCCATAACGTAAGGGACCGTGGCCAATTACAGCCAACGTCAGTTGACCGTGGACAATTAGACCCAAGCTGAAACATAACATATAAAATTTTTTTTTTTAAAAATGTTTTTTTTATGATAGAATATAGTATTGTCATCACTATGACATAAGTATACCAAGTTTGCAGCCGATACCACATTGGGAAGTGGGTTAAAATTGAGTTACAAGATTTCAGGATACAATAACGACAACAATAAATGACAACGACTACAACAACAACAACAGACAGAGCGAGTTAATAAAAAGCGTGTAAAATAGAGTTACGCTCAATCCACAGTTGGGTGCGACGGGGCTCGCTCTGCAGAGGAGTGCAGAGCGAGCGCAGAGCGGGCAGAGTGAGCAGAGGGAGCACAGAGCTCGTCCGGAACAACAGTTTCTAAGTGTCACCGTCCACTGCCTTTGTTTCGAGTGGGGCGCAACATGATTCAAAGCGATTGCTTGTGGATAACATTTTAAACTTGCGGGTGAGTGAGTGAGCTGGTCCACTGGCAGAGTGTCCCAACTTGTCGGGGGAATTGAACAGTGCTAATGAACGCGCGCACGTGCAGAAACATGCGGACGTACGTGCACACGGACGCACGCGGGGTGCGCGTGCTCGTGGCCATGCACACATACAAATGTGGCAATTGCGCAAGTATGTGCAGAAAAGTATTTTTTTTATATATATACACACCGAATCTATCCATTGCCAATGTTCCCCAAAAACGATACAGATCTGGGCGTTGGTCTGGGCAAGCTGCAATCTGTGCGGGGAGTTTTGCTGCCAACAATTCAGGAGCTCTGTCGGCTGTTTCAAGATTGGTGATGGACCGGCAGAATACTTGCAGGAGCTGCCAATTTTTTAAAATATATACAGCGGCGTCATTAATGCAAACTTCATTGCTCACAATTGTCAAAGAACCACAGAAAACCAGAAAGGCAGCAGCCAGGCGGTGGGTGAGCCGGGGCTCTCAACAACTGCCAAAGCTCTCCAGTTTCCTTAATATTAAGATGCTTTCAGCCAATTGATGAATGCTTAAACACATTTAGTTTGTTCGGATTAAATCTGGGGCCGATGATAAAGTGCACTACGCTTTGCAGAGTAGTGCAACATACGCACAATCTATTAAGCACACACGTAAGCAAAGAACATGCTTGTTTCGCAAGATGAAAAACACCATGAATAGTGGTGCCGGAAAACCCAAGATTAAACATTTACAAGATGTAGGGAAATTAGGTTTGAGGAAGCAACGGTGTTACAACGCTGATCGCTACAGCATCTTTGTTTTGCAATCCGCACCCGGGGTGGCGCAGTAGCGTAGTGGTTAGCACGCTGCACAACAACAGCGGCAGCCCGAGTTCCATTCCCAGTCACGGCTGACATCAGTGGCAAGCGAATATATGAATAAAAACTGGTCTCGGCGTGGTGAATTATAGTCATAAGCGAAATGTCCCCGGGAAGGCCTTCATCCAGAAGTTGACTGTTCTTATTTAAGAACTTCAGTGTGCGCTCCGCAGTCCACAGCTCGTTTCAAAAGGGGGCTCCAATCCAGACCATGCTTAGGCTGCTGTGATATTCTTTTGTATCTTATCTCATTCTGCCCATGCACATACAGATTAATTTGGATATATTTTTTGCCCCAGTATCCCTTGCGTTCGCCTATACGTACTCAATATGTACGTAAAGGTCACTTTTAATAAGGTGAAACAGCCAGGACCACGTCATTACGTTGACACACTTCCCGCACTTGTTTTCCCCAATTAAAAACACAAGTGTGACCTTAACCGGATGATGAAGTAGGCCGGAATATCATGGCAGCATTGCTTTCGAGTTAATTACATCCGCAATGTATTTATTCATTTGGTTTGACCTAAACACACAAAGAAAAGATCCCCCAAACAGTCGAATCGTTGGGGGCAGTGTTGTTAGCAACAACTGTAAAGTCTGGTAAGAGACACAAGAGATTGGTGTTGGTAAGCACCACGCCAGGCCCCCTTTGTCTCCCAAATGCCGATGGGAGGCAGCGCACGACCCGGTTCCAGTATATGCTGTGGCTGGGAATCGGACTCGGACCGCTGGATTGGTAGCGCAGCGTGCTAACCAGTACTCCAATGTTCCCCACGCGTCTAAACAAAAATGCGAACAAGTTCCCTTTCCTTGTTTGTGACATCCCCGATAGGGTCCAGTAGGGGCAGGGGTTTAAATTTCCTGGCACAAACACTCTGGATCGGTAACGTGATATCCATTCTGCATGGCGATGTCCAGTGTGGCACCAGCTGGTGAAGAACATCTCCACGAATAATCCTAATCGCAGTAACAACAATAATAGTACTACAGTCTGTTCTCCTATAACGCGTGTTTTCATAACGCGAATTGAATCGAACGCGATGAATGTGTTAAGGGAACACTTTTATAATACGGATGTGAATTGGATATAACGCGATTGAGTGACGGAACTACGTTGCGCGAGTAGGAATAAGCAGTCATACGGCTGCCTCGGCGTAGCATTACACAAGGCGGGATGCTGCTGGATGCTTTTAGATGCTACCCACGCTCCTCAGTCTTTGTTCAGCCTGAGTATGCATCTCGCGTGTTATCGTGGACTGTGCTTTACCCTATATTGTAGATAATTTATTATAATGCGATTTTATCCTAACACGGTGTTCTTCAGGAACGCAACTAGCGTGTTATAGGAAAACAGACTGTACTACAGATTACGACTTTGCACTTTTGTAGTGGTGAGCAGCGGCACGCGTGTGGGGGTCATGCCAAACTCTCACCTGCAGAAGCACGGGGAGTCCGGTCGGTCATCCTCTTGCAAGCTGCAACACGCACGTCAGAGTACGTCAACGTACGTTATAGTGGAATTATGAATTGATAAAGAGTTATAATGAGTTTCTGGGTGCCAGGGATCGGGACAGAGTTGGTTTGTACCTCAACCGAAGTGTCGGTCACGTGTGTATGAACAATACTATTACATATGAAATGTTAAACTAACGTTTTGACTATTTTAACAACTGACTTTCCAAATGAAACTCAGTGGTGCCAGTGCTATGGAGACAACATACGGTAAATTTTTATGAAATGTGTTCACCGAATTGGCAATGACGTTGTAAAATATTTACTCTGTGATGCAAAACTGCAGCGCGAACGCGGCACTCTCTCTCTCTGGCTGCCACCGCGAGGCGAGACGATGACGCGAGCGCACCGACCGCCGCTCTACAGTGCGCCCACCTGCTGAAGGGCTCCGTGTCGCTGTGCGATGAATCCATGTCCTCTCCATTCGCCGCCGTGCGTGATGGCGCCATGCCACGCCCGCTCTCCTTCCCGACGGTTCGGGCGCAGTGTGGCTCTGTTGCGCCGTGCCTCACCGCCTCCTCCTCCTCCTCCGGTGCCGCGCCCTCCGAGTCATGATGACCGTGGGGCTCGAACGCAGGTGGCGGGGGCCAGCGGCGGTCCGTGGGGCAGGCGCGCGGCGACGATAGCGGCGGCGGTGACGATGACGACGCTGGCGGCGGGGACATGGGGGGGTCCCGGCGAGCGGAGCTGGGACACGGAGCTCCGTCCGGACTCTCGGGCCGTGCCTCGGAGCTCGACGAGGAGGCCTCCTCCGCTACGCGGATCGCGCGGTTCCTCTGCGCGCACACATGTGTGCGTGCGCGTGGACACACGGACACACGCGATGGGGAGACCAACGGCGGTGAAATGCGGGGAGAGTAAAAACTGCACGGGCATAATCCGTGCAACGCTTGCACGGGAGGGGGGGTGGGGGGGCGGCTCGGTGAGCTCTTAATGCTGCACTGGAGCCCCTGGCTAGTGCGGCTTAGATCCTCGATTCTAATCCAGGCAGGCAAGTGAGATGATATCGGATTCTCCGGGGCAGACAGTTTGACGGTGCCAAGCTGGCAAAGTAATGCCCACATGCAGGATGCTGCATTGCCATTCAATGTTGGGTAAGGAAGGTCATATTTAGGAGGCGTTGTAGTTGAATGGCAACATCTTTGAGAGTTATTTTGAGACGTGAAGCTCTCCCCACTCTGGGAGCTCTGAAAAGAAACTATTGGTGTGTTTTGTGCACATTTGAATTCACAATAAAAGTCAAATTACGTTGCGAGATGAATGTTAAGACTTTCCTTCTCAAAGACTAAAACTCTCAAGGACACAGTGAAAAGTATATGCCTTATACAATAATAATGTTACTTATTTATTTCTGTAGGCTGATTCTCACGATGATTTTCAGAAGGATCCTGCATGGGGATGTTTGGCCAATTTCATTCAAAGGTGTTTGGCCTCATGTTGGAGTAGACCGGAGTACACAGAGAAAAACCCACACCACACACAGGGGAGGATTACACTCCAAGTTCCACAAAAATGCATTAAATAACCCATGTGCCGTGTTAACACATCCTGGCCACCACGCAGTGCAGAGGCTTCTGGGAGTTTCAGAAATCTCGTGTGCATTCGTGAGCGGTCACGCGCGTACGGTGGTGAGATGATAACTACTTTCCCTGATATACAGGAGGTCGTGGGTTCGATCCTGACCCTAACGCCTCTATATATATGCAGTTTGCTTGTTCTCCCCGTGGACGCATAGACTTTTCTCCGGGTCCTCTGGTTTTTCCCTCCACATTTAGAATCAACTTGCATTTCAAGAGATTTGGCTGCTATAAGTTTCCATGCGATAAGCCACTTCATTGAGCTATTGAGCTATTATTTGTTGCCAGGTCACTTCTGAAAAAGAGCTCACCTGGTGAAATAAAAATGGCAATAGTAGTTTTAGTACAGTGACACCCGCATCCCCCGCGCGGCTTAGCTAACGAGGACCAGATAACGAGGCTCGTGCCATACTCGAGGCGCATCGCCCCGAGTGACCGTCAGCGCAGGAGGAGGGAGCGGCAGCTCACGCCCTAAGCCTCTTACGCAAGAAGGAAAAGCGGGGGGGGTTGGCTCTGACCGCCACCGCCACCACCACACGCCGTCCCTTCGCCACGAGTCCCACGTGCCCCCCCCCAAGGACGCACCTTCTTCTTGCGAGTGGCGGCCGCCACTGTGGCATAGCTCGCTTCTCCATTTAGCCGGCCGGCCGGCGGCGGGTTCTGCGTTCCGTCGTTTGCTGCTTCCTCGGCGCTGGTTGAAGCGGCCGCCTCCTGCAGCTCCTGCGATGGCAGCAGGACAAACGCGCCCGCTGTTACGCATGGTGCGGAGCAGATGTCCAATACAGAATCGTCTCTGAATACAAAAACTAGATTTTTGGTACTTCCGATGAACTCCATCGCTACCTTACCCGGAGCGTGTCGGTGACCGCCATACGAACAAACACACCTCACAGCAACAGAGTGGAATACAAAAATAGGTTTTTCCCTTTTTTTTCTGTCAACAAAACTGAAACCTTGTTACGAGGAATCATGTTACTGCATTAACCACAATACTTGTGGTCAGAATGCAAAACAAATCATACTCTGATAACATATGCATTGTCCTTGAAACTGATTGGTCTACACCAGAGACATCTTTCTTTTGAGCCTAGTCTCAAACGGTGTTCGACCAGAGGACGCCAACAGGCGTACTTTCAGTTTCAAGGACAATGCATATATTATCAGAGTATGATTTTTTTTGCATTCTGACCACAAGTATAGTGGTTAATGCCAATTCCTCGTAAAAGGTTTCAGTTTTGCTGCCAGAAAAAAGGGGAAAAACCTATTCTTATATTTTGGAACTGGCAAAGGAGGTCTCATGATGAAACAAAATAGAATGTTTGATCCTGAGAGGCCACAGGAGCTGTTTAAATGAATAATTTTTTCTGGCCAGATGACAGTGGTAGAAGGGCACAGCTCACAATGGGAAGGTTGCGTGTTCAAATCCTGGTTGTAGAGGTCCGTAAATGAGAACCACTATGTGGGAGGCCAACATTCGTGATCAAATACATAATCTCACCCCCGTCATGTGAATATGGAAATCCCATAACTTTTTTTACATGAGCCGGAGTAAAAAAATAAATATGTGTTTGTACATTATCTTAACCATCTTGCTGACAACTAAATAACCCAAGAGAGTATTTTTTACTGTTGATTTAATCTAAGGGTTACCGCTCAGAACAGGAGAGCGAAACAAGAGCACGGCACTCAGCGCCAAGTGGGACGGCATTTTGCCATGCGAGCCAAACTGTACAAACATCCACGTGTGTGTGATTAACACATTAATAATGTGGTATGTTTATAATTTCAACTTGTAACGCGTTACACAGTATTCGCTTGCTCTCGCATAGCGAGAGAACAACTCGGAGGCACGAGGAAGAACCACAGACGAGCGGGAAGTCAGCAGCCACGCAATGAGCCGGCGTTAACATTTGCCTAAGCTCTACGGTCCTCTATATATTAAGATGTTATCAGCCAATTAATGAGTGTTACATGTGGGAGGAAACCAGACAACCCTGAGAAAACCTGTGTGTGCGAGGGGGAAACACTCTATCCCCATACAGACGGAAACCGTGAAGTCTACGTTATTGCTGGACTGCTTTCTCTTGGCGAGCCAGGGTATGATGGCACCTCGATGCCTGCAGGGAGTTTCACAACATTTGTGTTATCCACCAACCCTCGCCTTCAAAGTGCTGGAATAGAGGCCATGTGCATAACCACTGCCAGATGAAGCCAAAGATGAATGGCAACATGAAATACTGAATGATCGTGACACAATAATAGGTTTGTCCCCTTTTTTCTGGCAACAAAATAGGTGTTAAGATGTTAAAACACCAAACTGATACCTTTTACAAGGAATAATGTCTGCATTAAGGCGTACAGCTGTACGCCTTTTGGCGTCCTCTTGTCTAACACCGTTTGAGACGAGGCTCAAAAGAAAGCTGTCTCTGGTGTGGACCAATCAGTTTCAAGGGCAATGCATATATTATTAGAGTATGTTTTTTGTTTGCATTCTGACCACAAGCATTATGGTTAATGCAGACATGATTCCTTGTAAAAGGTTAAAGTTTGGTGTTTTAACATCGTAACACCAGTTTTGTTGCGAATAAAAAGGGGAAAACCTATTATCATATTTTGGTACTGGCAAAGGAGGTCCCATGATGATCGTAATACAAATTGATGAACGATAGCGCGAGCCACCGAGTTATGAAATACTCGTTTTAATCGACAACAAAAACATGTACAGACAAGCCTCTAGTAGGATTGCTTAAAATGATGGTCAGGGACTCTTAGTGTGCGCCTATTAAGGATGGCATGTGCACGTGTGGTGGTGGTGTGCCAGTGGCATGCCTGGCCCACCTAATACTGATGTAAAGCCTTAACAGACTGTTTGGGCAAGCGCTGTTTGCGAGCACCTATGAAGGCCAGCATGGCACACGAGGGGGTGGATGGTTAAAAATACGCCGGGCTGACTTTGTCACCCCCGTCGCGATGTTTACACACACACCAGGTACTCATTTGAGGCCGAGTCGACCTAGGGGAGGCCCATGACCGGTTGAGATAATCGTCACTGGTGTTGTCCGTGAGTGGGAATAAAATTCGGGTCGCCAAGTTCATTGCGCAGCACGCCAACCGCTGCACTACCACTCCCCACAGCATCTTTAACTCACACACACTCTGACCTGCACGAGGATGACGTGTGCGTGCCGAGGACTGTCTTCCTGGAAGATGGAGAGGAAGTCGATGATGAACCTCGCCGTGACTCGGTTCACCACCTGCTGCTCCGCAATGCCCTCGATTCCAGGAGAGACACTGTGAAGTACACAGACACAGAGACACAGGGAGACAGAGAGAGAAAGAGCGGTCATGGGCGAGGGGAAGGGAGAGCACTAAAAAAATGGAAAACCAAATTAATTGAAAAACAAAGTCAAAAAGCCTCTGTGCAGCCTACACAATCTGTTGGGGCAGGTGTTGTTACCGAGCAGCAGCACCTATGAAGGCTGGTATGGCACACGAGGGTATGGTTTGGCCGGCTCCACGCAACCAGCTTTCCACACAAAGACAAAGATCCCCCGTATAGCCTGAACAGACTGTTAGGGCAAATGCTGTTAGCGAGTAGCACCTCTGAAGATTGGCACAACACACGAGGGGGTGGGTGGCCAGGACCACGCCCGGCCACCTTTGTATCCCCAGTGGCGATGTTTCCACACTGCATCAGGTACTCATTTGAGGCTAAGCTGACCTAGCAGAGGCCCAGGACCAGTTCAGATAATCGTCACTGGTGTTAGCCGTGAACGGAAATCGAACTCGGGTCACCATGTTCGTAGCGCAGCACGCTAACCGCTACACGACTGCTCCCCGTGCACACACACAGACTGACGCACTCCACCGACCGTGCACAACGACACTCGAGCGCGCATATACACTGCGGGAAAAAAAAGAACGGCGCTCACCGGAAAAAGTTGGGGCCGAAAACGGTGCCAAGGTTTTGCGGCGACATGAGGTTGACCTCCTGGTGCTGGGCCACGCGCACCAGGAAGGAGCACAGGTAGAACAGCAGCGCATGGTTCTCGCCCGGCAGCTGAGCCAGCAGCAGCCGCAGCGACTCAGCGAGCCGCATTTCATCCCCGGCGCTGTCTGCAGGGCGCAAGTGGCACGCAGCGGTGAGAGAGGGAGGGCGCTGTGCGTTCAAATGCGATGGGATACGATGGCACGGAAGAAGTGTAATAAAGGACTCTTTCTCAGTGTCGATCTCCGTTGTCCTTTATTTGGGTTCGTAGAATCTCACTCACACGGCGTCCTCGCTCAGGCCCGCGTCTCCTCCGACGATCACTCCACAGCCACTCTGCTGCTCCGTTCTGCAGCCTCACTGCTGCTCCGCCCTGCAGCCCCACTGCTGCTCCGCTCTGCAGCTTCACTACTGCTCCGCTCTGCAGCTAGCCTTCCACAGCCCGCTAGCCCTCTGCGTCCTGACACCGATGGCTGACGGTGCCGACGTCTCCCGATGCGTGGCGATCGTGCCACCCTCCCCGTACTGCCCAGCGTGGCCTCCTCCCGTTTCACTCCGTCGCAACTCCCCGAACCCCTTCCGGTTCTCCCCCTAAATCCTCTCCCCCACGTGACCCTAACTCCTCCCTCTCCTCACGTGATCCAGACTCCGCCCCTCCTCAATCCTTGCTCGCATTACAGAAGGGTGCTGGAGACATGGACCTGACCCTTGGGCAGAGAACTTAAGAAAGCAGCACATTGAGGTGACCCCGTGGCTCAGAGAGATCACAGCGCTAAACCGGAACTGCCGTGACCCTGGGTTGAAATGCAGGCGGTTGCACAGGATTAAACCGGAGTCTCCATGAGAAGCGGAGTTGACGGTCTCAGTCCGACCACCAATGACCACACACAAAAAAACCCGTTACACGTTAAACTGGTTTTTTACCAGCTCCGAGAATTAAAAATATCAGTTGGACTGTCATGCAACAAACATTACTCTTATAGAGCAGAGCGGGTGGGAAAGTGCCACCTTCTACTGTCTGGTAGCTCTGAAATATCCGCTTCTATGGGCCACCCACTAACACGAAGGGTCGCACTGCTCTGCGGGAGCTGCAAATTAATTCTTAGTCTCGCAATGCGATGCTGATAGCAACAATCGGGATAAATTTGGAAGAATATGACAACAAAGCGAGAATAAGCAGAGTGTTACTGCGGGGATGGATGTGGTCTCATCGTGTACAATAAATATGAAAAATCCCCTGTACAGCCATTAACAGGCTGTTGGTGCAAGTGCTGTTAGCGAGCACCTATGAAAGCCAACACGGCACACGAAGGAGGTGCTTGGTTTACACCATGCCTGGCCGCCTTTGTCTCCCGAGTGCCGATGTTTACACAGTGCATCAGGTACTCATTTGAGGCTGAGTCTTCTTATGGGAGGCTCAGGACCAGTTCATAAATTTGTCACCGATTTTAGTCACGAGCAGGAATCAAACTCGGATCGCCCGATTTCTAGCACAGCGCGCTAACCACTGCACCACCGTTCCCCACCCCACGTATCAGCTCACGCGCACACACACACCCACCTCGGTATGCCTGTAGGAAGCTGGGAAGCAGGCTGGCCGGCACAACGCCATCAGGCAGCTCCCTGAGGAACAGCTTGAGCAGCCCGGCTACGGACGACACGTCTGCCTGGCCCCGCCACGCCTCGGGCACCTCCACCGCATCACCGCCTTCGTCGCCGTCGGCGCCGGTGACACCGCCATCCCGGTCGCTCATCACCTCCGCCTCCCAGGCCTGCCTGAGCCGCTCCACTGCACGCACGCTGCCACTCACCCGGAAGAGGCCTTCCGACTCCAGGCCTGTGCGGACAGCGACACAGCAGTGTCATTAGCACCGGCGGCAGCAGCAGCATCGGCAAGATTATCTGCAGCAGCGGTAGCATCAGTAGCAGCGGCAGCAAAAATATCAGCAGTCATATCATCAGCGGCAGTAGCTTCAACCGTAGCAGCATCATCACCACTAGCAGCAGCAGCGTCATCAGCAGCATGACTTTAGTAATGTTCATATAAAACGTATTTACAAGTGAAATTTTATACTATTTTTATTTCATCAGGTAAGGCCCACTGAGCTATATAGCTCTTTTTTAAAAGCGACCTGTATACAAATGATAGCTCAACCAAGTGGCTTATTATGTGGAAATTTATAGCAGCAAATGTTTTGAAAATGTTCCTAAATGTGGAGGGAAAAATCAGAGGACCCGGAGAAAAAAACCACACGACCAGAGGGAAAACATGCAATCTCCAAATGTACAGGTGTCCGGGTTGGGATCGACACCACAATCTCCTGCATACCAGGCGGGGGGTAGTAAACATCTTGCCACCGTGGCGCCCAAGCAAGTGGACAGTGTCACCATTATAATTCACAGATCCTAGTCAACCCACAGCTGGAGAGAATAATTCCATTGCCACGTTGGTCAAGAGAGTTGTTTGACCATACCTGGTTAATGTGGGTTGGTCAAGTGGCGGGGAGCCAGAACATCTCAAATATCACTCGCCACTCGTGTTATCCATGACCAAAAATAAAACTCGGGGTTGCCGGGTTCACGGCTCCGCGTGCTCCGCATCCTATGCTACTGCTATGCCAAGAAATAGCAACAGTTCCGATGCTCGACATTTGTATCAGCAGGAGCAGCAGTCGTAGTCAATAGTGCAGTGGTAGCCATCAATAGATGGCTTATATTACGGTCCAACCAGCCACTGAATACAGGGGCTGCAATGAAAACAAAACTGCGCTGGAGTCACAAACGAAGCGCTTATTAAAGCGCGTGGCGGGCGACGTTACATAAACGTGAGGACGTTAGGCCTCAAAGAGTGCAGAGCCTCCGCGGTGAGTGGAATTTTCCAAAGAATTGACAGTGCCCTCCTTGGCTGGTTCACGTTCTTCCATTTTCATTATAAAAAATGGTTTGCAAAACAATGTTCAATTGACACATCGCAAGGGAAAGTGCCTGGCTGTTTTCGGTTCGTGCAACAACATGTACTAAATGGCACTGATTTTCCTCGCGATAAACTTTTAATAAAAATGTCCAGAAATGTTTACTGGAGAAGCAAATCACGGCTCTGCGAACAACCAGCCTCGTGCAGTTTTCAAATCCGTGGAAACATGGGTTGCCTCGCAGCGGAAGCGCGGTTTGACGGATGCCAACCTTTTGTCGACAGGTGATTGGAATTTCCTGGTTCAGGCCCAGGTAATTTTCCACAAATTAGCAGTCGAGCTGGTGAGGTTATTTTCGCTTTTCATAATAAAGGTTGATTTGGTTTAGATCGTGAAAATATAAATGTGTCGTTAACGCACCACCACTCGACACAGCCAATTAGTAAGGTTTGTTACGTAAACAAAACGTGCTAATTAGTTCCTACTTCAGCACACCTGTGTGTTGAAGAGTAAACCCACAACATTTACAATTTTGAGTACAATGTTTGACTGGTGATTATAACCAGCTTAATCAGGCGATTTGCCAGAATTGCTAAGAAGTATTCCTGTCTACCAGTCTTAAACAATTCAGTTTCTTTTATTTCCTAAAATCGGACAACTCCAATTTACCCCGTCACGCCACGGGCTGTTCCGCATCCGGGTAATGTGCGGCCAGGCAGAGAGAGGTGTGCGATCATGCGCTGGCAATCCCACGAAGGCTGTAGAGTGGCCAATTTCGAGTCCCCTGCAGTTGCTCCCAGCACTGTGTTAGGAACCTATATTTACACTCTCATCAAAACGTCAAGTATCCCCCCAACCTTGCAGTTGTCTTAAAAAAAGGCTCCTATTGTGTAGAAGACATCCCCAAGCTGCGTCTCGGTGCTGGCTAATACAAGTTATGAAGCTTTGCCAATGAGACGAGAGACTTTGAAGTGCCTTGAAGGCATGCCACGTTCAGAACTCTAGAGAACAAGAGAGACCCGGGTCAACGAAATGACGATACGGCACGATGGTGACGTATTAAACGGCCATTGAGTGCTATTATCATGGAGCTCCTGACAGTCAATAAGAATTAAAATTATAATTTACACTTCAAAGGCACCTGTCACCCAGTTGCGGTCACAAGGCACAGTACAGAGCTCAAAACACAAACAAAATGTATGAAGATAAATAAACCCAGTAAAAACCTAATCGGAGCACGCCTAGTGATAATACACTCCACGAAGCACAACAAACACCCCACAGTTAAAACGTATGAAGCAAGTGAAGAGACTATGAGAACAGACGAGCCTTAAAATGAGACTTGAATAGGAGGCCGAGAGGCTCGGCGCAGACTGCGTATATATCTCGTGGAAGTGAAATCCACGGCCTAGGAGCCGCACAGGAAGAGGCCCGGGGTGCCCGCCTTCATTTATTCACATCGGGCCTCTCATTAAACCCAAAGAGCAGCACATGGGACACAAAACAAGGAAACTCAACGATGATCCATAATACATTTTTGGGTCGGATCACGTAAGTAAAATGTATGTAATTGCACCCTCCTCCAGCCGACACAGATGATCAATAAAGTTGTCATTTGAACAAACGTGCCAGTTTACTACTGCTTCTTGCCAACTGTGGTCCCTCTATATCATTTCACAGCCCATGGGACGACAAGGAGACAACTCAGAACCACTGTGGGTGGCAAGCGGTAGGCAGCACTGGTCATCGAGCGAGTGGGGTGCAGGACCAGTGACCGGGCGAGCGGTCCAATTACCGTGCTCCTCCAGGAACTGCACCATGGTCTCCACCACGAGTGGCACGGTGCGGCCGGGTGGCACGCCAACCAGCAGCGTCGCCAGCTCCACGCCGAACGTGCGCCCCCCCGCAGCCGCACCGGGCTCCGGGGCCGTGGCGCCGGGCTCCAGGAGGCCGCCGTGGCCATACCCAAATGCCGGCGGCGGCAGCGACGGTGGAGAGAACATGTGCTTCACTTCCTCATGGACCCGTCCCCCGGACTTGCCCTGCTGAAACACACGGACACGGACGCACGCAGATCCCCCCGGTGTAGGCCTTACAGAGGTGTGCGCTAACCACTGCGCCGCTGATCCCCAAACACTCATGGAAAGACAACGGTTCCCCTCGTAGCCATTCGCCACTAATTGGTGGTGAATGTCATCACGAAGTTGGTGCCAAGCTAGGTGCACTTTGAGGCCATGTGACATATCGAAGGCTCGCTGGTAGGAAGTCACGGGACAGACCCAGGTGCTATGGGTTGACTTCGGATGACTGGTAGATGCACCACCTGTGCTCCCCAGTGCCAATTTTCTGCATTTTAGTTCACAGAAAAGCACACATCCCCCATGTAGCCTTACACAGTACAGTGTGCTAACAATGGTGACACTGCTCCCCACACACCCACAGAAACAAATATTTCCCCATGTAGCCTTTAACAGACTGTGGAGGCAAGTGTTGTTAGAGAGTACCAATTAAAATCATAAAGGCTTACGACAGGGTGCTGTGGCCAGCATATGATTCGTGATTGATGTTAACTGTGGCCGAAAAACAAAGTGAGGTCGCAAGGTTCGTAGCGCAGCTCGCAAACCCCTTCGCTACCGTTCCCTACATGTAAATACAAAGATCCCCCGTATAGCCTGAACAAACTGTTGGGTCAAGTGCTCTTAGCGAGTACCCCTGAAGGCCGACAAAGGCACACAAGGGGGTGGGTGGCCAGAACCACACCCAGCCGCCTTTGTCTAGTGATGTTTACACACTGCACCAGGTACTCATTTGAGGCTGAATCAACCTCGGGCCGTGAGCGGGAATTGAACTCGGGCTGCCGGGTTATAGCACAGCGCGCTAACCGCTACACTACCATTCCCCACATGCCCACAAATACACAGATAAAGACGCATCCACGCACAGGAAAGGTAGCATCCGTTAATAACCCATGTCTTATTGTCACAAGTGCTGTTCGCTGTTCGCGAGCACCTATGAAGGAAGGCTGGAATGGCACAACAGTGAAGGGATGGTGTTGTGGCCGTAGCCATGCATGTGTGGCCGCAGCATGAACGCGACAGGAATACACTTGATAGGCCAGCCCTCCTGTTTGTGAGGGACCCCTGTTCTCAATTGCCTATCACCCACTTGAAAGTCAAGGTTATTTACCTATCTATAGCTCTACATTACCATTGGGAAGGCCACTGGACCTCCTGTTCGTTTTTGGGATGCATCAAGAAACATCCCCATCCTGTCTACTCATCCTTCACAGCCCCTGCATCTCACACACTGCGATGGTGCCTATCCTGTCTACTCACCCATTCACAGTTCATGTGTCTCCCAAACTGAGTCGGGCCTATATCCAGCCCTACTAATCCTTCACATATCCTGAGTCTTACAAACTGAGACGGGGCTTAGGGCCAACAAATTTAAGTTTTTTAATAAGTTGCTGTATTGATGCCTTGCTGTGTGGTGATGTTGTTTAGAAGGCTTGTGAGCTGAATTGTTGGTGCCATGTTTGGCATCTACGAAATTGTGATCATTGCTGTGTAATTACGTTCTGGTTTTGAGTTGAGTGATGATGCACGCAAATATATACGGGAGAAGTGGCACTTGGTGCAAATATATACTGCGAGGATATCAATAGTAAAATACGACTACGCGCCATCTGCTTAACTCATGATTTACGTTAAAGATGCCTTCTCGTAATTTGAAGGAGAGTAGGCCATTGCGTGTCAGCGTTGCTGTCCAAATTAGGTAACGTTTGAAAGAATAACTCGCAAATTGGGAAACAGCCGCGTGCAAAAAAAAAAGTATAGAGCCTCAGTCGGGTTTTCCTGGTTTAGTATGCGTCATAAATAATTAGTTACTAATTGTGCCTAAACGCAATATTTGCAGGTACAGATGCTGGAGGCAGACGGTGCTCCGTCACCCACCAGGAGGTCTGTTTGAACAAGCAGGACAAGGCAGACAGCACCACACAAGTGCAGCAGTGAGTCATAGATTGCAGAATCTGTTTACTCAGAGCAGAGATGGCTGAGTGGTCAAGTCGGTGGGGGGGGGGGCTTGCCTTGGGGTTCAAGGTTCAGCTTACAGCTCTCCTGGGTAACCAGCTGCAGGCAAGATGATAAATTCAAGAATGCAAGGCTGGCATTAGCAATTAACAGGTCTCAAAGTGATTCACATTGTCAACATCCATGAACTTGAACTGTAAAAACCTGTAAAAACCTCTCCCCTTTCATCTCAACGGCAAAATAACAAACATTCCCCATATAGCCTTAACATACTGCTGGGGTAAGTATCTATGTAGGCCGGCACAGCACACAATGCGATGGCCAGTACCACACCGGCCGTCTTTGTATCCCTTGTGGTGATGTTTACACATTGCACCAGGCCGAGTCGACCTAGGGGAGGCCCAGGACCGATTCAGATAATCGTCACTGGTGTTGGCCATGAGCGGAAATCAAACTCTGGTCGCTAACCATCACACTACCACTCCCCACCATCTCACTCCAGTCTCATCTCACTCCAGTCTCATCTCACTCCACTCCCCCCTTCTCATCTCACTATGCCCACCAACACACTCTACCCCTCCCCTCCTATCTCATTCTATTTCCATCGATATATCTGATTAGCACGGTTGGCTACATACGGTGCGAAAGAAGTTCAACATACATACACTCTCCTACCTTTTCTCACATCACGAGTCCCTCCATGCACACTCCACTCCAGAAACTGAGGCTTTCTCTACTAAAGCACCCAGTCAACCATCGCTCAGTGGGAAGTCACCCTTTTCTCCTCTGCTGCCCCCATAGTCTGGTGTGAACACCCTTCCCCCAGTCATAGATGCTGTTGACACCTTGCGCCTGTTCAAGTCATAAACTTCCGTGTTCCCTCTGCCTCATAACCGACCGCCTCCCTCTAAAAAATATATATGCCCATTGTTTCTGCACTGCGTCTTGAGACAAGATCACCAAATGAACCACAATACCTTGCCGATCTCGTCAAGGAGCGTACACCATCTCGCGAACTCCGATCATCCTCGAAGAGGCTTTTGGCTAGCCATCGAACAAAGACAGTCACTGCATCGCATGCTTGCAGATGCGCTTCTGTGGCGTCTGGAATTCTCTTCCTCCCGATATTAGGAAGCCACTGGAGCTATGCATTTTAAATCGAGCTTGAAAACTGATTTCTTTAGAACAGAATTTAGGGTTTCGTTTGTTGTCCTTCCTGCACACCTCCGATGAACACGGTTGGCTACGCACAACCCCATTCTGCTCCGTTCTACCGTGTGTGCTATAGTCTTCAGGGCTTTCGCACTCTTGGCTGATCTTGAACTGAACTCCACCTCTCCACTTCCGCACACACCACCCCATGGCGCCCTCAACCAACGGGTTCGATTTCGCAAAGCTGCGCGTAACGGGGTCGTGACATCTGCTGTTGTCTACGCCTGATTAATGTAAAAAAATGAAAATCCACTCAGGGAGGGGTACTGAGCGGCGGTGTTTTGAAACGTACGTGAGCCACGTTAACGGGAGCAGGGACGTCATTAGGACTGGAGTAGAGAAACAGCACCAAAAACGGCGTAATGTGCGGCGGTGTTTTCTTAAGAAAACGCCATTGTTTCCATGAAGATCAAAATCAGCCCATTTGGAAGTTGCAATTTGTTATTTATATTGTTTTACTATTATAAAAAATTTATATTATAATTATTTACATTATAAAACAAAACAAGATCAAACTTGTAAAAAGAACACTACTGAAATCAAGCAATATGCCATGCCAATCGTATAATGCACAACGCAATGTTGCAGTCGCGATTGTACTGTGCGGTGCTAAAGTGGGACCTCCGGGCACGTGCGACGTTTCTACGCAGCGTGGAGACGCAACTGATGACAACACGGCCTCGCCACGTACGCCATTACATTTAGAGCCCCCGTGAGTGAGATTTCTAATTTTTCTGTCCAAGGTTTTAATTCATTTTTCAGCAGGCCCTCAACTAACCGCCCCGTTGTGTGCGGCCCACGGTATACTAAACAGGTGTACTATACACGGTGTACGCTACAGCTGCTCGCGTTGTATCATGGACAATGCCATCTCCCATCCAGAAGCCGTAAGAGTCACGCACGGCGAATGGCACCGGGAACTTGGAGGAGGCGCACGCGGGATCGGTGTGCGCACACCTAGCAACGCGACGTCACGAGCCGTGACGCTCTCCGAGCCCAGTAGCATCACACTACGAGCATCGCACCTCTGTGCTTATTCGGTTGCTTACCTCGAGTCAATTCTTTTTGTGGACAGTGCGGAATTTTTTTTGGTGGACGACAGATTTATCTGTTCTTCCATTTTGGATAAGGGCGTATTTATAAATCTCTCACACGTGTAAACAAGCAGCTGACGTTTCAGCCCAAGGGTCAGAAAGTTTTTGCTTTTGAGGGCAAAAGGTTGTCCGCTAGAATACAAGTGGAGTGTTCTAATGACGCGCCCGAGGGTTCACTATCACTGTTCTCACGCAGGAATGAGCGGCTACTTATTCGAGTGGATGTAAAGAGCCAGTGACTGTAGTGCATAGTTCGGAAGTTAAAGAAATGCCTGCAACGATTAACGGAATTAATTAACGAGTGTACAGATGTTTGACGAGGTCACGAGAGAGTTTTTTTTTTTTTAATAGCTGTGAGACATGGCCTTTGGGCATAAACTGCATTGAATCAACAATTTCCATGAGGAAGACAATGAACATTATGGGAATTCCAAACGTACGAAACAAAATATAGTCCAGCAAACGCATGATACTGCTAACACCTAACACAATTTTTTTTATTTATTTTACCAGGCAAGGCCCACTGAGCTATATAGCTCCTATTCAGAAGCAACCTGGCCATAAATGATAGGTCAACAAAGTGATTTATCACGTGGGAATTCATAGCAGCCAAATACTTTAAACCCATGTCGATTCTAAATGTAGAGGGAAAAACAGGGGACCCGGAGAAAAATCTACACGAGCACAGAGAGAGAGACATGCAAACTC